AATACATTACTTTAAGCACTTTGATGTATTAGGGAGACACTTTAGACATGAGTGAATTTGAAGTCAAATGTTTTGGCTAGGTTTGGGGTAAAATGTAGAGGCAAGAGCCTAATAGTAATGTAGTGAGCATGGAATGAGATGGATGGAGTCAGTGGTTAAGAGCAAGGAGGGGAAGGAAAGCAGAAGACATTGCTGAGAGTGAAGCCAACAAGCAGTTAGCTCTGACAGAAGCCTTTGAGGAAACCTATTATTAACCCACATTGCTATTTCCAGCACAAAGAAATGTAGTCTGTATAAAGGATAAAGATATGCCAACTTCTGTGCTAGAGTTAAAAAAATACACTGCAAAATGAGTTGACTGTTAACTTACATGCTTGCGAGATTTTACAAACTACCAAAATCCATGTACCATCCTTAGGAGGAGGAGCTGAGATAGCTAGATGTGAGCACTATTCATAGAAATGTAATTGCAGTGTATTGTGAATTTTCGTCATCAGCCTAAAGTTGTGAGGCATGAATACAAGTGAATAAGTACCTAGGATTTTTCTGCTGTTGGAAGTGAAATAATAGGACATATTACCGCAGAGATGCTGGTACAAAGCATAGTATCCTCAGGCATTCTCAGTGGTATGCTGAATGGGGAAGAATAATATATTTGTTGGAAGTATTTCCCAGTCCACATTAGAGGGGTAGAATTAGCACTGTACTTCCTTTACATATAAATATAGTTTGCTGAAGGAAGAGATTCTTCAGTGGGAATGACTCTGTCGTCATTATCCTGCTGGTTTTTTTTATTTACCCGTTACTTTCTTGCCAGCTGTGGCTCAAAACAAAGTGAGATAAGCTCTCCTGTGAGTAGGATTGAGACAGTAGAGCTGCACCATTGTTGTCCCCATGTCATCTCTGATCTCAATATAAGGAAAATAGCTGTAATCACATTTACATTAAGATTCATCAACAGCTGTTGGATTATCTGTTCTACTTGTATCTAGCACAAAGCAGATCCTCTGCTGACAGGAACAAAACAATTCAGGTGAACTCATTCAGGTTTAATAATTTTAAGTAGATGTCTAATTTTTGAACCCAAATTAAAAAAAAAAAAAAAAAAAAGATTCTATCTCTATGTGCCAGGTTCTGATATCTCTGCTACATTGGTTTTGGTATTACACAGGGCTTGTTAGCTTCATACCAACATAAGTTCCTGTATTGTCTCTGAGGTCCCAACAGAAGTGGACACTGCTTTCAGTCAAAGGACTAGGTTCTTGTAAATTATTTTTGATCAAGCAGGGGCCCATTCGAATGGCTTTCAGTAATTCGGTGCTCTGGCAAAGGTGAAATTCAAAAGAGAACAGGGAATCTCAGAAATGGGTCATACAATGCTATTTTTGACATCACTATTAAAGCATAAATACAGGGCTCATATGATGAAAGTCTTTGCTTGAAACTTGGTAAATAACTGAATGGTGAACCACAGATACCCTTGGAACATCACTGAGTACTTTTATCACTGTTTCCAGTCTGTGACTCAGTTTTCTCTGAGTTAAGGAATGCATTTTTAAGCTTAGCTAGGCTGAGGTTTTTGAATGAAAACATATAGTGCATTCATGTCTAATTTGTGGACAGAATTTGCTGATGCCCATGCTCTTTATTTGCTTTGTAAGCTCTTCTTTTACCACCAAGAACTTAGGCTTCTTCTATCTTCATCACCAACTGCTTAAAACCTTGGTCCAGGAGAGCTTCTGAACCAACAAGATACAATACCATATCTATGGGTTGTTGATTTTTAAATTACACTATATTTTCCCATCTGTTTTTCATCGTTTATATTTTAAGACTAAGTTCCCATAAGGGAAATTAATGTTAAAGCAAGTATATGGGCACATCATTAATAAGTATTATAAAGTATTTTAATTAAAGTGCTAACTTAGGAATTAATGAGACTATTAAGAGTTTGTAATCATTTGTTATTGAAGTAATAATATGAATATGAGAATTCTAAGTTTATGCGGTCTTTCTAAACCTTATTGCTTTGTTCAACCTTTGCTTGTGTTTATTTGCAGATCAAAGTGCAAGCAATGATCAGAGGTTCACAGGCGGTATGGCTCTTTCTAGGATAACATTTAGTGTTAATAAACTAAAGGGTTATACACAGCATTAAAATAGAGAATGGTTTATCTCTTTTAGCTCTTTCTAGAATGACATTTAGTGTTAATAAACTAAAGGGTTATACACAGCATTAAAATAGAATGGTTTATCTCTTTTATTAAAAACAAAACCAAGAACAAAATAGAAAAAAACAGCAACTGAAAACTCAAGGAGCTTGAATTTCTGCAGCTTCTTTGTTGTAATTTTTCAGAGGGCAGAGGAGCAGGTAGCCACCCTTTCTGCTCCTGCAGAAGTGCCGACACTCCCACTGATTTTTCTTCCTGAAAGCCATTGTCAGCATTACTTAGCCCACTGTAGACAAAAAAGGCTTACATGTGGTTAGTCAGGCAGCCAGCCAGTGTTGATTTATGCAGTAATCCCCACAGATTTTCAAAAAGGATGCTTTCGTTGAAGGCAGTTCCCCTGGAGTTCTCATGAATAGGCTGGGGGGGCACCTGCACAGAAATGTCACTGTCCTGGACTCACCTCATGTCTGTGACCTACATACACTTTGCTAATTGAATTTAAAACTCTGTCATGTTAATCTTGAGTGAAAAATATGAATATATATATGTATACAGTGTGAATATATATGTCTGTGAAAATATATATATGTGAAAATATATATATATGTCTTAATGTGGTCATAGTTTAATAATAACTAAAAGAGAAATGGTCAGAAATATATCATGAATGTTGGATTGTTCAGTGATCCAACTAATCTGTGTGATCATTGTTAATAGCACTTGTGTCGCCCAAAAATTGAAAAGGTACAGTGGAACCTGCATTTCTCTCTGACTCTGTGTGGCAACCAGCTGAAGTATTGCTAGTGAGAATTAAACAGTTTCTTTCATGTGTGCTTGAGTCTCCTTTTATCCAATCAACAGTTTATTTCAGTAATTTCTTAAAGATGTGAATTCTTATGTTGGATCAAAAAAAATGGTGTTAACAGATTTAATTTTGTGCTGAAATTTTATGCCAGTAGAATTTGAAGCTGACATCCAAAATCCTCACTGGACTTTGGAAAGGAAAAGGATAGTTTTATCTGGCTATTTTAATCTCCCCTAAATATAGACTCTAAACCATTCTAGTTTCAGAACATTTGGAAAAGATTTAACCTTACTTTTTTTCTCCTTCCTTTTCAGTCAGGAAACATAAACTGGACGACATAGCTTTATTTGATTTCTTCAAAATGTCTAAGTGCGGAAACACTAATGACAGTCCGTAATGTTTGAGATTGTGTTGAAGGTCTTTGTTGTTCTCTCAAAACTTCCATGATGATAGCATTAGTTCTTACACCTAAATAGTCAGCAATTTCTTCTTTATGTAACATTTTGCACCTGAATTCCTTTTGTTCCTGCCTGTGAAGGTTTCAGAATTGCAGTGAGTTATCTCATTGTTTGTTTTTCAGAACAAAATTACATTTCTGAACAAACTTCGGTTGCCCCTTTCGGTATAGTGTTGTGTAAATCCATCTGTTAATCTTTTGTAACATTTTGACTTTCATGAAAGCAATCACATATATTTTGGGGAGAACATTTGGGTTTTTTCTGAAATACTGTTAAGACTAACACATGTATAACCCTGTGATTTACCCTAGTAATCTTTTTCTGGAATTAATTGCAGGATAGATAAGCAAAATATTTCAAGTGCGTTAATTTTGAACATTTGTATGAACGTCTTAACATAAAATATGTTTTTCATTAAGAATAGCTGTGGTGTACATAGTGATCTCTGTTCTACTCCTTGTTTTACAGGTGCACATCTAGTCACTCTGTAGTTTCACAGAGGTGTCATAGAACAAAAATATTTTATTCAGTTTGCCTATCTGTACAACCACGGGAAGCAGCAAATAGTGGACCTTATGGCCATCTGAAAACATAGCTATGTATTTTTCCAATAGTCTAGCATCTGTGAAGAGCATTGAGAAAGGATTAGGGTCTGTGATGATGAGGGCATGAGTCTCGTTGAACGGTAAATTGCTTCGCTGGAGGTCTTGATGCCATTTGCCAGGGAGCAGCAAGGGCTGAGCCAGGGGACAAAGCATGGCTGGCGAGGCAGGGTGCTGCAGCAGAGGGTCGGCCCTGGTTGAAGCCTCACTGCGGCGCCATCTGTTCAGTGCCCCGTCCTGAGCCATGAAGGAAGGAGCTGCCCTGGGCTGGCGCTATCTCAGAGCCATCCCGGAGTCCCAGCAGCCCAGCCCAGCCTCCCGCCATGGGGTTATGGTGGCTGTCATCGTTCTGTCCGTCACCAATGCCACTGCACAGAACAGGGGCTGGCCATTCCTTTAAGGAGCTGTGGCACATGTTCAACATTATTGTTTCTTCACAGTCACTGCATCTTATTATCTCTTTAGGGCATCTTTGTTTAGGCTGTAGACTCTCTGCGATAAAAACATTCATAGTGTTTAGGGTTGTAAAGGAAGAGCCGAACAGTATCGTGCTCTGTTAGTAAGACTCCATGACGTGTTATCATTCAAACGTGCATAAAAAAGCAAGTAATGGTGTAGAAAAGTCATCTGAGAGCTGTTTATGAAAAACTCTTGACTGGATTTAATGTTCAGATATGGGCTTCAAAAAGTAAAAGGGCGATGTTGGCTTGTAAAAACACATGTGCAAAGACGTCTGTTTTTTTCATGTCTGGTAAAAAGCAACAGCTCCTCAGGAAACACAGGACACTTTCAGCAACTGTCCTATAAATCAGATCTTTGAGGGTGATCCATGCTTGAAGTAAGCACTTGCTTTTTGGAAATGGCAACCACTGTGTGTCAGTTGGGAGGGATGCCTAGACAAGTATCTCATAGCTGTACAGGGATGTTTACCAGCTTCACTAAGTGAAGTGCATTTTTGTGACAGATTAAATCCAACGGTGAGCTGCTCATTAAAAACGTTCAGCTGCGGCACGCTGGGAGGTACATGTGCACTGCTCAGACGATTGTTGACAACTCCTCGGCTTCGGCTGACCTTGTGGTAAGAGGTAAGGTTCTCCAGGTAAAACAGAAATGTGGCTGGTTTTCACCTAGACAAGCAGAGTGTTTCTGGTAGTTTAGAATGTTTTATTTCTCATCAAGAAATGACAGCAGTTAAAATGAGAAGTGCATGAACCTGCAAAGTCTTCAAGGCCTACTCAGGATGCTGATTATATTCTAGACATTTAGAAATCTAACTAAGCATGTGTTTTCCTGAAAAGCAACAAAGATTTTTTAATTAAGGGTATTTTCCTTATGTTGAAGTAATTTTTAGACAGTTTAATTTGATGTTCATTATTAAAAATAGATTTTAAGTATCATTTCAATCTATCCACTGTATAACATTTTTAAGAAGTCACTTCTGTTTTCTCATAAAGCTTTATGGATTAATTTATTGTGTATAATACTAGGCCTACATTAAAAGGATTCTTAGTTTTCAAATGGCAGAAACCAAGACACTTGGGGTTAAGGTTATCACTGCATTGTTAACTGATGTGGGTCTGTGAAGTGTTACTGTGGTCTCAAAGCACTGTGCTTGCTCATACGCTACATATCCTACAAGACATGTTACAATGCCTGGTTTCAATATGATGAGTTAATTCCTTTGGACATGTTACTCTGTTTTGTGCCTCCAGGTATAACACGTTCTGAAGTGCTAATGCTCTGTCATGTTGTCAATTCAAAGCAGACATAACTCGTATTTGGGGCTGCATTACTGTCGTGTTTTGCCTCACGTTCCACTTATACTATACAGCTGTATCACAACTAAAGTATAGCTTGTGCCTTGATTCTGCGTTTCCGTCATCTGAGGATGTTGTGGACTTGATTTTTGTATTTGATTTTCTGTATTTGATTTTCACTGGGTATTAACAGCCAGTGAAATTTCATCAGTTTTGGATAAAGTGTCAAAGCAAGTATGATACATAATGAAATTGCAGAATACATCTGCAAAGAAAAAGAGAAGGGTCTGTTCATGTGCCTTAGTATTATGTAAGCAATTCCTTTTAAAAAATAAAGAGAGGCAAGGTGCCTTATCAAGCTTCTGATTCTGCCTCTAACCTAGTAAGTATAATTAGAATCATTACTCTGAGATTTTGTTGTGGAGGAAGTTAACATTCATTTTATGCTCAACATTCAGGTTTTAGTATGATGAATGCAGTTCTGCTTAGTGCTGAATAGTTTTCTCTACTATTTTCGTCACTAGAAGTCTCAGGATCTTACGGGGCAAGGTTAAATATCTGATGAAATATGACAAAGGTGACATGGTAGTTTCACTGCATTGGTAGGAACAGGCAACAGCAAAGTATGAAAACACAAGAGCTAGATTCCAGAGTGTCTCATCAATGAAGCAGTAAAGGATAGCCACTTTTCATGCAGGCACATGAAGATATTTCATCTGTCCACAAAATAGTTTGACAGTTCATATGGATTGTCCTGTGTAATCTTAGAGTATCAAAATTGCTGTTGTGTTCAGGAGAATTGTCAGTGATATTTGAATACTGAAGACAGTCGGGCCCCTGAGTGCACCAACCGGCTTTAATGGCCCTGGTCAGCCTTACCCAAGACACTAACCCATGCAACTGCCCTAAGGCCCAGGAGCCCCGTTGAGGTCAGCCCTGGACCTTCAGCTCCAAGTGGAGCTGTGTTACAGACATGCCTGCTTCCAGCTCCATCTCTGGCCCTGCCGGCTGGATGGGCTTCAGACCTATGCTGTAGGTAGCTTGTCTTCTGGATGAACTACTTGGATATATGCAGTAGTTTGTCACCTGGATGCACCTCATTCATTGCTTGTGGTAAGTAGGACCGCCATATCAGCACCCGACTCTGCCCACTGTATTTAGACCTTGTGGGACTGTGCCCCATTGTTGAAGGAACTGCCAACCGTGGGGTACTCATTGGTCCTGGCTCGGTTTTACTGAGGGAGCAGCTGGTATGTGTTTCCTGACACATACCATTTTCAGAAACTTTGATAGTGAAGTGAGAAGCTGGCAGAGATATCTCCTAAAGAAGGAAGGAAAGGAAGATCTTGCGACTGCTGAACTTTTCCCTACCTTCCATACTTTCCAGCTTGAGGGCCCCTGAAATGAACAGTTTTGCAGGAGTATGGGTCTCTCAGGCATTACCTACCTGTGTCCTTACAGCTGGGCTAGCAAACGTGCAAGTTGCCAGGGTAGAGAGTTGACTAACAACCCTCATCTTAAAAATCAGCTCTTAGCAACAACTTCTTTGTGCGTCCTCTGTGAAGAGTAAGAGTCTATTTCCACTTGAAATGATGCATTTAGTCCTTACCTTGAAAGGCAGGTCTGAGGACAGCTAATTAGTAGATTAGTTTTCAATGCCAAGATTTGGATTTTAATAGAAGTTGGTTATGAGCAATCCAGTAGTCAACTGATATACATTTTCCCAAGGATACTAAATGGGAACTGTTCTTGGATATTAGGAGAACAATCAGGAATTTGCTTGTCAAAGTCATAAGCCATAGCACAGTAGGGTAGTCACACTTATTTCTTTGTAAACAATGGCACATATATCCTTTAAGGAACTAGTCTAAATTTGAATAGTTTTGGAGTTGGGAATGGAATTACTTGCTTGTTAGAAGGATAAAATTGAAACTGAGGAGCAACAATATATGGTAGTATATTTGTTTGATTCAGTTAGTTTCATTTGATTCCTTTTGCTCAGATTTATGGAGAAAATAAAGAGCTCAAGAGCTGAAGATATGTTTGGCACACTGTGTGTTTAGATCTGAAGTAGAAATCTCGTTCCATTCATTTTGTCGAGTTGTTTTTGTTTTGTTTTTCTGTGGTTTCTCTGTAGATACTGCAGAGAAATATATCCTATTGTTTCTTAGTTTTTTTAATATGCTCTGAGACTTGTTCAATCAGATTGTTGGATAATTACCTGAATCATGTTGGCATATTATTATCTCTGAATGTGGAATCAGAACGTACTTCTTAATAGTTCTAATGCATCTTCTCTGTTTTTACACAACAGTTAATACATCTCACATAACTGTGTATTGTATAAAACAGAAGGATAGTAACAAAACCAGAACAGTCACTATGAATAGAATGATCTGAAAATATCTATAGACCAAGTTTGTAAGTAGGTACTAAGCTTTGGATTACAGGATTCCTGGAAGTCTGAGGTTTTTTAGTACAACTCGCTGAACATTGTGGTGTCTTTTACAGATGAAGATTCCTGTACTCACATATGCATGAGCCTGCATCACTCTCTTCTTAGCTTTCTAGTCTATGAAAAAATCAGCTATGCCTGTTGATCTGCGCATTTTAGCTTCTCTTCTGGGGACCAAGGCACAGCACAGCAACAACAAAAAAGTTACCCGTACAAAGTAGAGGTGTGGGAGTAGTAGTAATTAGAAGAAAATTTTTAAAATTAAAAAAATACATTTAGGAAAATGCAAGCATTCTCTTCAGCAGTTTTTGACTGTTATTATTGTTCAGAAATAAACCAGATAAGGTTTTGTGAAGAGATGTAGTACCATTCTTTTGTTTTCGTGATATACCTGGAAAAACAGGCAAGTTTTGGGACCAGAGGCTTATCTCTTCAGATCTAAAGTACAACTCACTAACTTAAAGCCAAATATGGATTGAGAATAATTGCTGTTATTTTATCATAGCTGTTTTAAGTGGTTAGTTTGAGCAGAAATAGTATTTAATACTTGAAAAGCATAGAGATGAAACCATTAACTAATTTAGGACAAGTAGCTTCTACCTGTAATGATTTGGCTGGGTGTTGGGAGCATAGTAACGTGCCATCAAGCCAACATCTGTATTTAGTTATATTTGTATTTTTATATTCACTAGAGCTCTGAATTCTGAAATTGATCTTAGCAAGTATCTGTCTTTTGAAGAAAAGGAAAATATTCTTTAGATTATTTTATAGGTCCTTCTTGATGATCAAGACTGAAAGGCCAAAAGTAGAATGACTGTTTTGTGAAAAATGTTTCCCTTAGACAGCTTAGTGCTTCTGTTCCTTGGTGGTGGTCTTTGTGAGGTTATTCTGGTGCACAGAGACTGTTTGATTTCACCCATGTAGTTTGAAAGACTGCTTTTAGTTCAGTGAGTGTAGTGGATTCAAGATTTTTGAAATTCTTATTGTGGGAAAGCTTTTGTTGAACTATGGAGAAACCTCTAGTTTTGCTTTCACTCAAGTTATATTAATCTGTGGGAAGTTTGAATCTGATGATGGGTTTACCACATTGGAGTAATATGGAGGCTGAGAGAAATGTGAAGAGGTCTGTAGAAATACCTTTCAAGGTATGATTTTTCTGCAATATAAACTACAAAATTTTACATATAAATTGCAACCACAGCCAGTATGGTACAAGCAGAAGTGTAGATTAAAAGTGGGCTACCAATAAGGTCACCATTATGTGGAATTTAGGAAGGAAGACTTTGTGTATTTTTTCTGACTCTAGTTCACTGTTGTTTCAAAAAAGAGCAGCAACAGTTTCAAAGTGTCATTTTTTCACTTAGGAAAATCTTAATATTACTTCTTAGGCAGGAGTCATCGAAGTTTCATTTGGTAGTTATTAGATGCAAGAGCATTTATCCTCTGAATCGCTCTGCAGAGCACGAAAATGTATATATATGTTTTCAATGTGTTCTTAAGTAGAAAGCAAGACTTGAAAGCCTTTTATCTGATAAATACAAGTAGGAAAGTTAGTGGACTTTAATTTTCAGAATATTTAGTTTGTGAATTGAAGTACCAATTTCTTTTTTCTCAGGTCCTCCGGGCCCTCCTGGAGGTATAAGAGTAGAAGAAATTAGAGACACTGCTGTAGCACTTACCTGGAGTCGTGGAACAGACAATCATAGCCCTATTTCTAAATACACTATCCAGTCAAAAACGTTTCTGTCTGAAGAGTGGAAAGATGCCAAAACAGGTAAGAGTAATGCCAGAAGTAATAAAGTCAATAGATTTTAAAGTGTTTGATTGTTAGAAAGCTTGACTAATCAGAAAATAGTCACAGTAAAAGGAAACCAGGGATGCTATTAATGTCTGCTACAGGGTTTGGGAGCAGATACCGTTCTGTCAGTGTGCTGTCAGCAGGTTTGCTCCCAGCACTTGGAGGGCCTGAACTGAACATCAAGAAAAGAATAGGCCAGAGTTTTCACCTGGTTTTTGCCTCTTTCCTTGTTGCTTGAAACATTCCACGTCAACTACTAGAATCATAAAAATTTATTTACAGGTTAATCTGGATGACAAACGGATGTCTTCATTTCTGTGTTTGTTATGCAGAAAGTTGGTTAAAGTTGTCGGGGAGCAGGCTAAGTTCCAGTTGCATTAAAACTGGCACCTCTAGAGAAAACATAGCTAGAATTATCCTTCTAACCACTGGATGTCATCATTGTGCCACATAATTGCAGTTGAGGAAGCACCTACCTGAACACAGGGCATGCTAATGTATATTTCTTTGCAAAATTTAACATAAATGCATAAATTATGGAAATATTTTTAAACTACTAGTATCTTTGAATGCTTTACGAAGGATAGCATTGCCACAAGTTATACAGAATTGTCCTACCAATATGATTAATTAAGCCACCGTAATAAATTATAACTTAAGTGCTTTTCTGTGGAATTGCGACATCACATACTCAACATTCCTAAATACTGAGAATATTAATAGTTTCAGCTCTTGTCTTTCATTTAAGTTGCCCTTTGAAACTACAGAGATAGATGTCTAAGAAACTACAGAGATAGATGTCTAAGAAATAGACAGAGCTGAAATAGACTGAGCTGAAAATTTCTGTTAAATTTTTAGAGTAAAAAGTTAAAAATACTAGGCCTACTACCTTCAATCATATTTCTCTTCTAGAATATGTAGCATATGTAGGTCTATTGTATGTAATTACCTCCAACCGTCAACACTGGTATATGACTTATGTTAAAGTAGCTTGGAAAATAAAACTAGAAGGTTCCCCAGTCCCTTCTTACCTCTTATACCTTGTTTAATAGTTTCTGTAGAATAAATTTCTTTGAACTTCAAAAAAATAATTAATGTAGAAATTAGAGCTGATCAAATAACAGATGATTTGCTTCAGTAACAATATGCACAGGAAGGAGAATCCTTTTTGTCCAGCCTCCACTTTTTTCAGGATAAATTATATTTTATTTCCTATTCATTTTTTTCCTTTTTAATTAAAAAAAGGAATTGGGAAAAAGCAATGTTATAGAAAGATACAGGAAGAATTTATGAACAGCAGGTGGCAGCTCTGATACTGCTTCCTTTTGTGCTGCACGTTACTGGAAGTAGAAATACCTGTGTAAGAGATACAAATGTTGGATTCAGATCTTCTCCCTGTCTGGTTCAGAGCAGACACTTAAACTCACCTCTCGCACTACTCAGGAAGATTCCCTGTTTGCAGTGTTACAAACATGATAAGATGCACTTGTCTGCCTCTCAGAAGTTCTTCTGCTTCACCAAATTAATGAGATAGATAGTCATTGAGACGTGCAGTCAGACTTTGAGTCTTATCCTGTAGCATGTTGGGTGGGATTCACATCTTACGTGGGACAGGGAGAAATCTAGATTGTTGAAATCCTTTTTTAAGAAGCTAGCAGGAAAAATATAAATTATTCATTTATGAAAAGTTGAAATGAACTATCGCGGTGTTTTCAAAATCATTGCTTTTTCATTTGAATCACACTGAGTAATTTTGATTAATAGATGATTTCCTCAGAAAATAGGTAAAATCACTATAGTAACCATCACTGGCACCACTGCAAGCTTTTACTTAGTTTCTGGGCTCTTCCCAGTTTGGCTCAGTGTTGATCTTCATGTGAAAGAAGCATCATGAACAGTCCAAATTCATCTCTCATCAGTGTTCAGGCTATCAATTAATGCTGCTAATTTTCAATGTGTGGAACAAAAAAATATACTTTGGCATTGCACTTTGGAAATATTGGTGTTATTTTTGCTACTACCATTATTTCCAAACCGAATTGTTCATCTCAGGTTGCATAATATCGAGTGTGTTGTATGAAACAAGTGTATTCTACTTCACAGTATGGAAATATGTATGAATGAGTTATGTAATAATTTGTTTACATTTATGTTGCTCTTTCCAGTTAAGGGGATCAGATTTTCATCGTACTGAGTATTCATAATTATTCTGGGAATGTGTGGCACAGTAAGATTAAATTAAGATATTGAAAGTAGACCAGGAAAAGGAAAGCCAAATTTATATCATGGCTTGGATGCCATAGGAGGTTTGCAATGTCTCTGCTAACTGGACAGAGAAATAATTTGAGTAAAGATGAGGGAGGGTGGTGGGCTGGTGGAAAGAAAATGGGACGTGTTTTTCTTTCTCCTTCATGACCTCGCTTTGGAATTAAAAATTTAATGATCATTAGGTAGAGGAAAGTTGTGTCACCATCCGGTGCTTACACTGCCGTGGCTGTTTTTTTTGCAGCCATTGCATTCATATTTTAATTCCAAATCAGCTGCCTTTCCAGTGCAGAATATTTCTTTTCTCGTCTCCCTCTGAACCCAAGACTCTAAGATGACAAACAACACTTGGCCCATGCAATAAATTAAAGTTCTGTCTTTCTATAACTGCAGACAGCTATAGAAATGAGCCCTGTTGTCTGTGAAGCATAGACAGAGAGTCATGAGTTATGCATTTTATTTATGGTAAAGAAGCTCATCCTTACGACAATAGTAAGTCTTTTTGCAGGAATTACAAGAACACTTACCCTTGTTGGATTAGAACTGGATAGCAGGTTGCAACATGGTCCTTATTAAGGCGCAACGAAATATGACCACTTTTTATAAACCTGTGGAAGAATACCTAAGGGTTAACATGTGAACAATCCAGCCTTTCCTGAGAGCATATGCCCAGATGCAGAACGGGAATTAGACACCATGATGACATTGCTTCCATGATGCAACCAGTCATACTAAGGGGTGGGCTATTGCTTGTATTGTAACCAATCATAGATTGGTTACATAGTCTTGTTTTACAAAGCTATAAAGCACGCTGAGTGTAAACTAATAAAGGTTCACTTGTTTGATCACATTGATCGTGTCAGGTGTCCTCTCTCATCTCCCGAAAATGGCGCCTGAACAGGGACATGAACCCTGGACACTCATCTCCCGCATAAACCACTCTTTATCAATTGATCAAACCCTACATTTGTACATGTCTAGCCCTTCTATATATCATGAATTTTTATTTTACTGTTTTTGCATTCCAGATTTCTCATTGCATTTGTCTGTAGGTAAAACGAAATTCTACAACTACAATATGTAATTAGTAAGGATACCTCATAACTACATGTACTTCTTTTGCTAGCTCACACCCGGTTAAAGCTTGCAAGTCTATAAGGGTTTATCCAAAATAGTGTCATAGTTTCCAAATTCCCAGTCACTGCTATGAGTACTTGTAAAATGTGATGTTCCTAAAGTTTCCTTTGGTTGGCTATGTGTGGTTGCAGAATAGTGGTAGTTTTGCCAAAATCAACCACATCGTTGGCTGACCTTATCGTAAAAGTGCTGTTTTCTAAAGCAATTTCTTATTTTTTTTAGAACCATCAGATATTGAAGGAAATATGGAATCTGCTACAGTGATTGATTTAATTCCGTGGATGGAATATGAGTTCCGGATAATAGCAACAAACACTTTGGGGACAGGAGAACCTAGTATGCCATCACAGAGAATTAGAACAGAAGGCGCTCGTACGTAAACAGAAAATGTCAAGTTTTTTAATGTGCTTCTTAATTTTCACATTTTTATTAATCAATTTTGCAGTTTTGTTTTTATTTGAAAAAAGCACTTTAGAAGATGCAAGTCTAGAGAATATATTTTCAGCCACCCACTACTGCAGATTTTAGTGAGCAAATACCAGACTGTCCAGATGTGATAGCATCGAAGCAGACAGGAAAGAAACATCGTGATACAAATGGCAAATTTCCCTCCATTGCTGAAACAGAATCATACTGTATCTTTCAGAGATCCCCCACTGTGTCTGTCAGGTTGTGTGTGTGTATGAATGCATGCACATCCTTGGGACCAGGGCACAGGACTTAGGAGACAAACACGCATGTGTTTAACAAGGAAAATGTCCATTTGCTGTTTGGTTTGTATTCTAACTAAAGAATACATGGCAGATGTGTGTCATACTGTATAATGCCATTTTTCTGTGATTGAAGGTTTGATCTTGTGTCTTCTTATTCCACGTCAAAGGTGTGACATTATCCAACACAGCATATGCCCTTATCAGTCTCATTGCTCAGTGTTAAAATCTCGGAGCATATTTAAGGATATCCTTTAGACTCAGGCACATCCTTTTTAAAATTAATTATCCAAAAGGAGGAATTAGGTGTTATTATTCAAGATAATACATTCTGGTTTAACTGTACAAAGGAGATAGCAGTGCTCTAGGAGGTAATGTGTCACTGCAAAGAGACTGTATCCAACAAAGCCTGTATACCAATATGTTCTCCTTAACACATATTAACACCCATGTGCAACCTAGATATATTTACAATTGTTGTCCCATAGCTTGAAATTTGAAATTAGAAATGCAAAACCAAAGTGTAAAAATTAATTTTTGTCATTGCCAGCTAGGTCATTGCTTTCATTAGATACTATTTGCAAAATAAAATGTATTTGCATTGCAAATTTCAAGTTTAATTTTATTAAAAAAAAGGCACACATTTGGTCCATTAAAAAATTTGTTGCTTAGGGAGAAAGGAAATACAGATTGGTTAAATTAATCTGGACAAGGAAGGAAAAAACACAGAAGTTTAATACTAAAGTAAAAGGAAATTACTGCCTATAAAATTGACAATTAGCATCATATATTTTATGACTCAACAACTGTATTTCTGTATGAGAAATCTACACATGGTTCTTGGAGTGCCTGGTGCACAATAGACATTTTTGAAATGTCGGAAAAGAGACGGAAAGGGAGGGGAAAAAATGCTCGCAGGTGGAATAGTGATAGTGTCCTGCATTTTGCAGTGTGCCATGTTCATGGCGTTTATTGTAGCCTCCCCCAAAATGGCATATCCTCCAGTTTTGTAGCAGGATACAATACTTTTGCAAGAGGTAGTCTGTTTAGTCTGTTGTCTGATTCCCCATGCACTGCACAATTGTCGTCTCTAGCAGACTGTGAGACATTTTTGGTGAAACAAAGCAAAATGTTAATGTCGTCTTCCTAGGCATCAGTCAGCACTTCTTGCCGTGCTGAAATAGGGTGTAAATCAGTAACAATTTGCAGGTGATCTTCTGTGCCCAAGTGCATTTTCTGTCGGGAGCTGGCATTTGTTACGAGCAGCAACCATAGGGTTTGTGTTGTACTCTCAATTTGCAGGGTACTACAGAACAAGTACTGTGTATGTGTTTTCATGTAAATCTGAAGAAGGTAAATATTTGATTACATAAACAACAACCCATATCCACACATTGTAGTTATTTTTAGCATATGTTCTTTGTTAAACAGCAACAGATAGTGCTGCATCTTTGTTGTACCGTATGAGTGACAAATAATGTCTGTTAAACTCAAATCTTACCAGAGTCTTTTTCAGGTTTTAAGCCTGTCTTCTTGTAGATAATTGTAATTTCAGTAACATTTTTATTAGCATGCTAAGAATTGTGCACTATAATTTTTCTTTTTAATGAAATCTGCTTGCTTCATCAATAACACATTTCACAGTGACTTCTTGAAATTCAATTGATCAAAGTCTACTTTTATGTATTTTAGCTTCTGGGTGCATTAGAGTAATTGTCTAAGTATAGCTCTCTGAATTAGTAACCTGATCTTAAGGGAGAGAGAAACCTGGGTTTAATGGTTGAAAGAATGAGGGAGATTCTCCTGAAAAGGGTGATTTGTAAGACATTAGACAGTCTTTTTTCTCTTCTCTAGCAGCCTGTGTATATTTGACTACTTAAGCATTCTAGCAAACCTCTGCTTCTATCTTAGCACTAAAGTTACGTGCTTACTATAGATAGTGTGACTGCTATGTATTTCAGTAACAACAAGGTCAGGTAATAAATTAATAACTCTGGCAAAAGCTTCCTCTTGAATTGTTATTATATATATGTTTAGTCTTATTCTCAACTAATGTGTTTTCTGGAAGGCCAGAAATAAATGACACAAACCCTTCACTGAATGTTGGTGTCAATTTCAAATTTTTTGTTACATATTTTTAACCTTTATGAAAACATAAATTCTTATCTGTTTTGTGTTTCTCCTCAGCTGATCCTCAGAGAAGGCCTCAGCAAACATTATACTTAAATAGTGGGAGAGCACTTAGGAACTATCTCCTTACTATCTTGTGACATTCACTGATTAGTGGAGAAAATGCCCCATCATATAAGAACTTTTAATACAAAGAACATGTTCATGTAGATAGAGCATGTAGCTAATGCATGATCACCTGGGACATATTTAGTGCACTATAGGCAGGCCATCGTTTCCTAACTTTTCAGTGGACTTTGTGCATCCTGAGTGATGAGTGACAGCAAATAAATACACAAACACCGTAGAGGATAGCAATAGAATGATCACACGTAATGCCAAGAGTCTTACAGAAATGAGACTACAGAAATGATTCGTAATGGAGTCCTTGAGAGTGTCCTGCTTTACCACTCAGCTGTGGATAGATCAACAGATTTTACTTCATTAGATAGAATATCAGTGTAAAATGTAATTAGTAAATTACTAAGTGGTATGCCAGCTTCACTTCGAAACATCTACACATTCTGAACATGCCAATCAAGAAGACATGTGCCACTAATCTAGAATAGCATTAGGATGCCAATGCTTCAAAGGTATATCCATGGGTTTAGCATTACACATTGCGAGTAAATCCACTGAAGTTGATGGAACTAATCACAGTCTGTAAACGTAAATACATATGCAAGTCCTGGGTGCCTGAGCCCTTGGCATACCAGCATCTGAGAAAGCACAAGAACAAAACACAGTGCTTCTCTTAAGACCTATGAGGAGTGTTCCATTTCTGAATATTCAATTAAATATTTGTAGAGAATATGGTTAAAAAGAAGAATGATTGATTGCTAGCTATGGTTAGAACTGGCATGTTTCCTGCAGCAGTAGTTATACATTAGTCTTGGCAAGATCACAGACTTTCACAGCTATTACAGACTATCATTATTTTAATTGTGTGTGCCACGTGTGCTCATTGGCCCTGCTGCTAAAAAGAAAAGTAAATAGTGATATTTTTCACTGACTGCATACTTTGTAGTCATTTTTCTTGTCTCTTCTATTTTTCTAGCTCCTAATGTGGCTCCTTCTGATGTCGGAGGAGGGGGTGGAAGCAATCGTGAGCTGACAATAACATGGATGGTAGGTATTATACTGGATGACACTAAACCTAGTACGTCCTTGTGTCTGATCTTGCTCCTTCTGAAACCCATGGATGGTTTATCAGGGGCTTCTGTGAGAGCAGGGTCTGTACACAGCACTTACTGGTTTTCAGACTTTTCTCATAAAAATACTTCAAAAGGAATGAGGAAGATTATATTTTAGATGTTTTAAGTATTGGACATTTCTAAAATATGATCTAACATTATTCTCTGTTTCAAAGCGTTTGAAACACATACTGACTATGATAATGCATTGATGTAACTGTGGTTGAAAATTCTGCATATTGACTCTTCAAGGCTTTTTATAAGTTACAATCTGAACAGTTGAAAATTCTGCATATTGACTCTTTCTTCAAGGCTTTTTATAAGTTACAATCTGAAGAGCATGCAGATTTGCTTAGTACAGCTAAAAGTATAATGTCTTAACTATGACTTTAATATGCTGTGCACAGGTTTACAGGCTTTATTAAAAAAAACACAAAAATACACTGCCATTCTATAAACTAGCCTGTCATAATTATTAACTAGAGTTCTAAGGAAATTCTTGTATATTGACATTTTATAAGTTTTATTTTATGCTAATGTGACTGATAACACAAAACAATGTTGCCTCATACCACAATTTAGCCATTTGTTGATATCCACATATTGATGTTGTTCTTTTCCTCCAAGTCATTAATTTTTCTTTAATGATTGTGTATTAAGCAGAATAAAGAAAGAGAAAAGGGACAGAGATAAAATGTTAATCACAAAAATAATGGAATGAAAAGTTTAAAAAGTTACAGTGTTATCAAAAAAGCTTTTCAGTAAGCAAAGTCTTTTGAAAACTTCATCTCTCTCATGTACTGTAGTAGGTATTCAGTCCATGACATTTTGGTCTTTAAAAAGTATTGTATATATAGCTATATATATACATGCTGTCTTTATTCTGGTTTTGAAGCAATGGTTTTTAAAATTTACCTATACTGTGGGGAAAAAAAATGCTTCTGAAAACAGGGAAGGAGGAAAAAAGAGACAAGATAGGAAGAAAGCAAAACCCAGAACAAGAGAGGATAAGAATTTATAAGCAAAGTCACTATGTAGGCAAAAGTTGCATGGAAGAGAGAGTTGAATTCTTCTGAAGGGTATTTGGGAAAGCCAGGGAGGAAAAATAAAGCAAAAAAAAAAAAGCCTATCATCTGATTCATGTCAGAGCCTATCAGTACCGAGCAAAAACAGAGTTCTAGAAGCATTACCTCTGGCAAAGAAAGATGATTAAATGTTATGCCTGAAAAAAATACCAAGTTTATCTTGCTAGTGACCTCTCTGTTTACCTTTGTAAGGCTATGAGGCACATAAGGTACATTATGCCATTTGTGTCTTTTGGGAACAGTTTGTTTCAGATGTAGCAGCTTATTTACCTCTCTGAAGAGGCTTTTTTTCTTGTGGTAAGTGATATAAAGATGACATAATTCCAACAGCAACTCTGTCATTGTTGTATAGGGATCCTCCTTATGAATGCAAAAATTTTAATCCATGTGCATGTTTTCTTCTTTTTGTGCTTAAGATTGATCATATCTCTTTGGAAAAGTTCTCAAGTATGACACAGAAATAGTTAGCCATATGTTTGAGCTAAACGGATTTCAGCTTTCCTGTTTTGTTTTTTTTTTTTTTATTATTTTTTTAATTCAGTTCAAAACATTTATTCGGTCTTCCTAAGTACTTTACCAATGAATTTACCTAAAGAAAAATTTCTAAGTTTCTGAAAAAGGAAGATCTACACTTTTGTTAAAATATATTGAAAAGTTTGTTAGTTTCACTAGCAATAGGTTAGGAAGTAGATGTATCCTAATTGGTTTGATTCTGATCTTTATTTATTTTTGAAGAGCACAAGTCAAATAAAAATACATACATGCAATGGACAGTTGCACAAGGCCTAGATTATTTTGTTACTTCTTCACAACTGCTGTCTTATAAAAACTTCAGCAAACTCCAGACCCACTTCTTGCATTGCACATCAAGACCGATACTTGTGTCATTTTCAATACATTGGAAACTTGAATGTGACCAAATTAAAAAAAAAAAAAAAAAAAGTTATAACCAGGAAAATAGTAGCTCATGCAAGATCTGAAGCACAAGATCATTTCAGTCTTTCTTATATGCCCAAGTAGATTTATATTCCAATTATTTCCCTTACCTAATGTCATGCTTTTTACATCTGTTCCATAATGAGTAGCTCATTTAGTCAGACAAATTAAGCATGACTTTAAATATTTACTTCCCAAGAATCTCCAACGACTATGTCTAGCAAGTGTCTTTGAATAGAGGCATTAGATTTACGAAGCCTGTCTGACAGACAACAATATATCTATCTGCAAGGCTAAGATAAAAGTGTTTATTGATTCCCCCAAATGTGCTGACATTTGCATATGCTACTCAAAATAGTCCTTAATTAAGAAGAGAAGAACAAAATGTATGGCAGGTTCACATGTTACTGCCAACCTCCTTTCAGCCTTTGCTATGATTCATATGCCCGAGTTGAATGAGACAGCCAGAGATGCAATCAAAGCTCTTCTAAGTCTTGTTTTGAAAGAAGAACTGAGGAGGAGAACTAGGAGTGGCATGCCTATTCTTCCTCATTTTTCCCCATTTGTCTTTCCCTCTTCCGTCTTGTTTTTCAAAGTTTTTAGTGGATACTACAAACTATTCAGCTACTTATATCTACTTATTACGTGCAGCCATTGGAGGTCAAGCTGCTTCCAACATTTTATTTAAGACCTTCCAGAATATAATTTCTAAGTGCCAGTCCTGGCTTTCTAAAGTTTACTCTGCCTGAAAATTATTCTAAGACAAGGGCCACATCCAGGCTGCTTACTTTAGTGTATGAATAGGATTCTGGTCTATTTTAGGCAGCTACATGCAATTATAGATTCAGAAGACGAGCTATCGAAGGTCACTCAGTACATGAAATCTTCTACTTTTTGAATTGCAAGGTTGCCTATGAATCTAAACTTAGGTTAGCTGTTCTGGAAAACTAGGTATCCAATTTCACCTGATCTATGGTCAGACCTGAGGTACAAAAGAAGCTAAGACACAAGTTATACCTCATCCAATAGGTACACTCGGAATATGCCTGATGCACAAAAAAATTAAGGACATGAAACAGGTTATCTAGCTGTTGGGGTTTTTTTTAGCTGATTTGTAGTTAAAGTCTTTGTCTGGTGGCTTGTGGTTAGTGTCAAAACTAGAGACCAAATATCCATCTCCTTTTTGGCATGAGGGGTTTCTTGAATTTATCTATTGGTGGTCATCTTAATTACCAATTATACTTAAGTCATTCATGTGTTCTCAGAAGTCATGTTGTAGGTAGATGGTGTCTTTCCACTGTCTAAAGCTCCATTGTAGTTCAGATTTGACATACATCAGCGTTTCATCTGTGTTGCTCAGAAAAGCCAAAGAAATTGCATATGTAGAGACCTGCAGTCAGCTGAATCAGTCAGCTGTCTTCTGCAACATGGAGCCATGGTTAGAGTACCTAATCATGAAGCAAAAGGCACTCAGTCGAAAGGCTGACAGCCTTCGTACATATGCCATGTTCTAGAAGGTTGCCCTAACCCGAGTCGTGGTGTGCTGAGGCCACTTTCCTGGTTTTGATTGAACTGAGCCACTGTTCTGCTGGAGATGCAGTTAAGCATGGGGAAAAAAGAACAGCAAGCAAGAGGATTCCTACCGATTACTGAACTCTGGGCCTTACTCCCACAGCTGGTTTTTGCTTGCATCCAGTGATTATCCCATGCTGAAGCATTTATGGTCTAGACATCTTCATCTAGAACCAGCTTTCTGTCCTCAACCAGCTGAAGGTTGCCTGCTTTTAGTATTGCTATATTGTTATTCTTGTGACTTTAGCACTGATGTGGCAGAGTGGTGAAACTTTATGGCAGTGAGAGATAAAATGGGATGCAACAGTGTTGCTCACCAGCCTGGGCTGCGGCTCCAAGGATGCCATTGCATCTTATGCAGCCAGGAGGAAATGGCCCGCCTTTTGTAGGCAGGGTCTCAACCTTAGTTAATTAGTTAATTACATTCAATTCAAGCCAGCTGGGTAATAATGATTGGATGCCACAATTCCCCCTTTTTGTTTTACCAGTTTTTTGTTTTTAGAGGAAAGTAAAGGCTTTACAGTGAGCAGAGACCCAGTCCATTCATTCCAACTCCAGCATGCTTCCCTCCCATGAATATCACATCAGAGTTTGCAGCTTTACCTTCTTTACTGAAGGACTCTCACTCCAGCCCTGGCTACTCTGGCTCCTGCAAGGGAGCCACAGTCCTCAGGGTCACCAGATGTTGCTCACCAGCCTGAGCTGCAGCTCCAAGGATGCCATTACATCTTCCACAGCCAGGAGGAAATGGCCCGCCTTTAGCAGGCAGGGTCTCAACCTTCGTTAATTAGTTAATTACATTCAGTTCCAATTCAAACCACCTGGGTAATAATAATTGAATGCCACACAACGGGATCTGATAGCTGGCACATTCAGGGCAGGGGTCAGTTAACCTTAAGCTGAGTAAAGTCAGAAGTCCCAGCCTTGATCTGATTCTGTACATTTCTCTTGGAAGTTTTGTCGTGAAGAAAAGAAGCTCCATCATTGTTCATATATCCGTAACAAACATTTTTCAAATTTTGAGTTCCAACATCTGTGTTTGCCTTAATTGTTTGCTTGTTCTATAATGTATACTATTGTTCTAATCCATGTGTTACGTTTCTGAAGTCAAAACTTAAATGTTTCTTTTGTTCTAAAAATTTGGTAAGTTTTCACCAGAATTTTCTTTCTCAGAGAATTTTTAGAGTTCATTCTAGTTTCAAACAAATATGAACATGAAAATTTGTGAGCTAGAATTTATTTTTTTTTTTGGCTTGTTCCACTATTATCATCTAAGTTTCAGAAAACCTTGCTCAGAATATCTCCACGCATGTTAGCTGAAGTGCTACAGTAGTGGGCAAACACCTAAGGAGAATACTTACTCTCTGTTGCACTGCTCCAGGACCTTTGCCTCAAAATAAGCTATTTCATCTCCGTAAGGTTTACAGGATGGGAAAAGGTGATGCAGTAAGCTTAATCTCAAAGAATGCTTCTGGTCAGCCTTCAGATGCACTGCTGAATGATATGATTTTGGCCCATTGGATGTGCTATCTAATAGTTGTGGTAAAGGCTCCGTGGACTGAGGAGGGATCACTGAATGTAGAGCTTTGGTAAATGAAGCAAAATTCATTATAACAGATGGTATTCCATAATTTTATATTTTCCGGTATTCCTAGATGCAGGAAATCAGCTATAGTTTAAAAAAATATTTTGGATAGGTACCTTTAGTGCTCGTGCTGAAAGTGGGAGTCGTTTCACTTAAACTTTTACCACTTAGAAGCTGGGTAGATAATCTAAACCAGCAACTGGACTCCTCCATTGTCAGTGAAAAGTGGTAGAAGGAATCATTCTTTGAATGTGTCCATCTCTCTTAATCAGCTGTGCAAGTTGCCTATGTGACCAACGTTAGGTAAATTAATATAGATTAGGCCAGCCAAATAAATTTTCTCTTCTCTCTCTCTGTTTTGCAAGAATAACTATCTCTGCACATGCACATGGACTCACATACTTGCATAGTGTGTCTGTGTTAAATAGCCACTATCACTTCTCAAGAAAGCCTTCTTTGCTAGCTATGGCCAACAACAGTTTTAGTACACAATCATCCTTGATTTCTTTCAGTAGGAGATAACATGATGTGTCTTGCATAGAGTTTGGATGAGGAACAAGATCTTAAAATGCTTTAATAGTAGATACGCTGCTACTGCAGATTTGCATAATGAAGGTGGTGTATTTTTAAAAGAAGATGATGTATTTTTAAAGCAGGTGGTACCAAACCGTAGAAGCAGTCCAGGAGAAGATGGAACTTTAGTTCAGTGGTTTTACAATGCATATGTCAATTCTTTCTGTATTATTTATGTTTCATTAGAGATCCATTTGTTTAGTTGTCTACAAAAAATAAATGTTTTGTCTTTCGCCTCTTTAGCCTTTGTCAAGAGAATACCACTATGGCAATAACTTTGGTTATATAGTGGCTTTCAAGCCATTTGGTGAGAAAGAATGGAGAAGAGTTACAGTTACTAATCCTGAAATTGGCCGGTATGTCCACAAGGATGAATCAATGCCACCTTCAACCCAGTATCAAGTAAAAGTGAAAGCTTTTAACAACAAAGGGGATGGACCGTTCAGTCTCACTGCTGTCATCTATTCAGCACAAGATGGTGAGTAAAGGTTCCAGATAAGTTTTACACTGAGGGCTCAGATCAGCCCTCGGTGGAGAGAACCTGGTCCTTGACGCTGATTAACGTAGCAACACATGCCTTCAGCAAGGAGGGTGTATACTGCTCACAGCAAACAGTTGCAGTTGTTCTAAATAAACAGCTTCAGACTCTACTTTCTGTGTGATGCAGAGCACTTGGTTGTACTTGCTGTATGAACAGTACACAGAAGAATTCAAAATTCTTCACACAGCCTGTTAAAAGATTTATGAATTTAAAAAAAGAAATTCTGATCTTCGTATTTGTCGCCTAAAACATTTACATCAGTATCCAGCAATGTCTCTGATCTTAATACATGTATTTGACATATGTATAATTTTTTTCTTCTTAGGAAACAACACTAAAGCCTACTATTTGAGTAGATCAGTATCAGAATTTAGCCCAAATTTGTGAAGGAATGATAGTTCAGTTGAATCTAGTTATATTTCAAGCATGTTTAGAGTCTAATATGATTTATCTCTGCCACATTCTTTATTCTGGTTTGAATGTTAGAGCTGTCGAGTGAATAATTTAATGAAAACCTTTTTGACATTTCACTGAAATATTTTTCTTAATTCTTGCTGGAATTATTTCACATGCTGTGATCTTTAGGATTGCTGTTTAAATGACATTTCCAAACTTAGCAATAGAAAGTACTAGAAGAAGGCTTACCTTAAATCAGAAGAACATCCTAATTGCAACATAATCACTCAAGCCTGTGTTTTAAAAATGCAGTTTATTAATTTCTGCCAGAAACCCAAAGAATTACTCCTGTTTTTCTTTCCATAGAGCAGAATCTCCTTTACACAGCCAACAGATCCAGACCAAAAAGCCAAGAGGAGGGATATAATAACAAGGCCACATTCTCACATTTCCGACTCTGGTCTTTGCTCTGTGTACTTTATAGGAGATTTATGTTCATGATTCCCATTAGGACTAATGGGAAATTTGCACACAAATCGGCCACACACATAGAAAAGATAAAATAGTGCTTTAGTTTCTTATGATAATTCAGAACTCAGGCTAGCAACACTTAGCTATCTGAAGAGATTAATACTAATCCTTTTTCTCAGAAAAGCGTACCTTAGCATATCATCTTCAGCAGCTGTTGCAGCAACAGAACACTTGTTTTTGCAATTGTATAAATGAGTTAGTAAATAGCTATGGTGTAATAAAAGCCATATCTGCCAAATAACATTTCAGTATCCATCCTTTCTCAGAGGCATTATCGACAGCTGACTGATAAGCTCCCGTGTATTTATGTTAGGATTATACTAACCATGTCAGGGATGGCAGTGTGTTTGTACAGCTCTCTAAGTTCAGAAACATGGCAGAGCCTAGTAGCTCTAAAAGACAGAAGAAAAGTAAATGTGCAGTAGTGCCAACATACAGATAAAGAAGTCACTTCAGTGGCTGCTGATGTTCTAACATAGACTTTAGCAAAGTCCAGACACTTGGTAGAAATACTTGTGCTTAAATGATGCCACATCCAGGCAGCAAAAGGAATAGAAGCTCAGTGAACCTTCTTGTTTTGTTTCAAGCACAAGAGGCATCAAAACAGTCAGATTAACTGTGCTCCTAACCTTACCAATACTGCTCACAACTCCTGCGCAGAGCTATGATCCTTACTACTGACCATATCAAATCCAGGAACTGCAGGGTGAGTTAGAAGGAATTTTTCCAACAGGTGTAATGAAAGTTATTCCCAAGAGTGCTCTGCAGAGTTTCATGCTGGCATCAAGACTCGTACAGAGTCACTTCAGTACCTTGTAGCATGCTTACTGGCTGCCAGCCTTTACTTCGTATAGTTTGCTTAGAAGACAATTGTGTGATGACTGCTGTGTTTTCAGTGAAGAGAACATATTGTGAGGCCCACATGATTGCTTCTTTTATTGGTAGAATTACTGTATTAGAAGTCTGGAGAAAAGCAGCGGATGTCATCTTTCTGGCTCAGGAGAGACTGCAAAATATTTATAGAACATAAATGCCAAATAGGGATATAAATTATTTGGAGCTCATAAACAAGTGTAAGCAGATGAAATATTGTTTAAAGTATTGTATCAGCAAAATCCCTGACAGTTGGAACTTTTCCTTATGAAATATTTTGGCAAATTCTGTAATTGAGACAATGGAGAACAGTCGGACAGTGATCTGGGAATGGATTAGATGATTACATCTATTCCACCTGTACTTCTGTACCTCTGAATCAGCAAGTGATATTACTACTGTCAGATAACACAACTTCTTAAAGGTATTAGTGAGAACAAAAGCAATATGGTCATACAGTATTCTATACAAATATGTGTAAGTATACATACATAAATATAATGACAGCATTTCCACTAAGTTGTGTATTTTGTAGTATATCTATGTGTGTCTAGTTACAACTGTGGACATCTTTATTCACTTTAGTTACTGGGGAATTTCTGTGTTCCCATGTGTTTAAGCCAAGTTCCATCTCTGGCAACTAATAGTCATACCTGCTATTGCTAGTAGTGAGTAATGATTGCTAGTAATGAGAGCATAGGCCTCTTGCTTATCTAGATTCCTGTCATTGTGAAAACAATTTTGCAATAATGTATCATTTTTTAATTATACATTTGCATTATTAACAGTCATTGAAAGACAATTACAAAAGGTAACTTTGCATATAAGATTATTTTGTTACCTAGGATACTTTTCATGAGAGATTTAACTGATTTTTGTCTTAACAGTGGCTGTTTTGATGCATAGTTGACTGGATGCCCAGTTGGAAGATTAAGTATATGAAAGCTTTTCTCAGCTCGGGCTGCCATGCCTGTCTGTTGCAACTTGTTTCAAAAGATTCGCGACAGACAACTGTTCTTAGCTCGGAAAACTTTTTCTTTTATAGGCGTTGCGAAGTTTATGCCTTTTTAAATTCCTTACCTTACTTAAATTGCAAGCATCAGTAAAATGAACAGCTTCTTATAGTTAAAATAGAACTTAATATTCTAAGCCCTGAATAAAAACATATCACATCTGATGGTCTGTATTCTGCATTGGCTGGTGTCTAGAACTAAGAGCACAAACAAAATCAACTTTCTGATGTATGTCTAATAGAAGGGTGCTCTTGTATTATTTTACACCTATGTTCAAGTTTGTATGTGCCACTGACCAGCTCTGTATCTAATATCCGGTCTCATAAAAACTTTGTATGATCATGATTAAGTGACATACACATGAATATTTGTGTGGAGCTATCTTAAAAAATCTAATGTACATAATCTGTGAGCTGCTGTCCAATTTAGTGAAAGATTACTGGATACTTCATTCTATTTATCAAAGCTTGTTTTTAATTTACACAAATTTCAGCATGGAATCTCCTGAAGCATAAAAGTACGTAGTCTGAGCCAAGTAATAAAATCATTGCTTTGTTTTTATAGAGTCATTTCTCATTCAGATCATCACTGAATTTAAAAGTTTACTCAAGTAAAACCGGATTACAGACTAACACTTGGTCCCCAAGGAAATAATATGAATTATCATGAAGTGTGAGGAGCCCCTGTAAGCGAGTATAACAATATCACTGGATAAGATTGGATGTTTAACATGTGTTTCGTCTTCCAGCTCCAACTGAAATACCTACAGATGTGAGCGTAAAAGTTTTGTCATCTTCTGAAATGTCTGTTTCTTGGCACCATGTTTCTGACAAATCTGTGGAAGGATATCAGGTGAGTGTAGAGGCGACACTGTGTATCTTGTCATTCATTTAATTTCAGTAGTTAAATGCAAGGAAAATTCCTACTCTAGCATTCTAGCTCTTAGGGTTCGCTTCTCTTTAATTGTCATTTGCTGTACAGATTTCACATCCTGAGAAACAGATTATTTTTGATGCTATATGTACTTCATTGCTAAAACATATTAACAAATGTATGTGCTCACTATGCAACTGGAAAAAGGCATCACTATTTCATGAAAGAACCTTGTGTCTTTGTATTACATAACTGAATGCCTATCTCTACCTTCTCAAAACATACTGAAAGTTTTGGGTATAATTGACAACAAGGACATGAAATTGTAACTAACTCATGACCCATTTAAATTATCAGCAGTTACTAATATAATTCACCCACAAGTGGGACTACATGACAAATGCCGAGAATCCAGTATAACAGAGACAGTGGTATTGTGCAAGATAGCAATCTTTTGTTCATGATTTCTATTCTCCATATGAGAAGGAACTTCAAAGTATGTTCATCTGGTCCAAGATTAAGTGGTACTACCGATACATATTGTTCTTGTCTTTGTACAATGATGACGACAGCCACAGAGTGGGTGAAACCAGAAATGGCCACATACGTAGTACTCCAGCAGGGAAGTCTTACACCATCCACACACAGTAGATGCTGTTGAACTCTGCAGCATACAGCCAGTTTGCTTTGGCTGCACTCCAAAATAGGGATTTGGACCTTAGCTTGTTAGTGACTTGCTTTGTGACTGAAGTTGTCAGCTGCTTGATGGTAGCTTCTATGTTCCAAAATAAGCACATACAAATGTGGAGTAACCTCATAGAATGTATTTTTATGACTGAAATCTATGAATAAATGTTCTTTTAATTAGTAGTACTTGTTTCTATATTTCCTGATCTCTGTTTCTGTCTCCATGAGATTTCTGTAATGCTTCTGGGATACTGTAACAAGATCATAGCAAAGATCTCAATAGGAACTAGCGTAGTGTCCCATATAAATCTTAATTCTGCACAGTACACAAATAAATTTTCAAAATTACAAGCAGAGGACACTGGGTTTGAAATTAGGACACTGACAGCAACAATAACCCCTAATTTACTAAAGCAGCCCATTGATTTGGTGTTTCATAGGGATTGTCCAGGTAGAATAGGATAGACAAATTGATAGTCGTAACTGAGAGCTGGGTGGAGTGTCTGGATCTGTGAGCTCGCACCAGCCAGCCATGTGGCAGTGTTTCATTACCAAGCTGGACAGTCCACACAGAAACTGGGCACGAAGCCTGTGCACCCTGAATAGCCAGAATGGATATTTGGCAGGCACCCACTGGGGGACTTGTGAGGGTCTGAAGAGAGAAGCAACAAGGAGAGCACGGGAGAGTTTGGGATTACAGTAGCGATAAAGCATGGTGATGGATGTTGAGAGTTCTAATAAGGAATGGAGTAGGAAGGCTGGAGGGGTGAGGATGAATGAGGAAAGAACATGGTGGGAGAATATTCCCGTAGGCAATCCACTTTTGGCCATTTTTTTTATTTTACTTCATTTTACATAAAGCCATCTGAGTTGCTGTCAGGGGACATCAAATGAAGAAGGGAGGGCAGAGGATTCTGCAGGAAAGAAGAGGATGCACAAATAGCAGAAAAAGGGAAGAATGTGTGGAAAGCATAGAGAATCTTTGGGCTGAAAAGAGAGTAACTGCAGTTCTGAAGAAAGGTGGGATACCCTGGGAATGGGTGGAGAGCTCTGTTAAACAGAATATAGATGTGGCCTTACTTTGATAGCTGGAGAGTAACTTCATCCACTCATTCCTAGAGAAGTACTACACTTCCACAAATCCAGTATGAACTGGGTGGCTTGAATAAGTACAGTGAGCAGCAGCATTAGAATCTTGCATTTCTTCTCTTTTTTTCTTTTTTTCTAACCTTCTAGCTATCAGAACTGTGGAAAAAAGGTCCTGACTGGCTACACAATAAATGGACTCATAGGCATGAATTACTGCCCTCCAGAGCTCGAAAAGGTGTTAACTCTGAGGTCTCTTTGTCTAGAGCAGTCATCAGCCTCACTTTAGCAGAGGGGAGAGCAGCAAAGGGCAAGCCTGTGCTTCTACACTGATGGCCGTAAGAAAGCCTTGTGCTCTTGAGGATCAGATCTCCCCTCAGTCCTGAAGGAGCCATAGGACAGGGCAAAAAAACAGAGAGAGTTCTTCTGGAAGGTCAAGGCTATAGTCTTCATGAAGTTACAACACAAGTCGTGGGGGGAAGGAGCACAGATTTGTTCAAACTGCATTATAAAATTCTGATGACTATGTCCGGAAGGCTCTATCTATGTAAGGATCAAGAAATACTCCAATATGTATTTTTTAATTACTGCTCAGCTGTAACACAGGTTAGCAAAATCCCTCATTCACCAGAACACCTTCTCGGTTTCATTTTGATCTTTATTATTACCTGAAAACTGCATAATTGACCTTTTAACTCCCAGAGTTTAAGAGGTGGGAGTACCCTGAGCAAAGTACCTGAAGGTATTTCACCTGTGACACAAGGCTTTTCACACAAGGAGGAGTCAGATTTTCTTGACAGTAATGCATACTGTCAGGATCACTGCCCTCATGGTGATGAGTGTGAGCTGACACATTTTGCTGTTACAGAGGAGTATCCTCAACTCACACTTAAAGAAGAGATAAGGTATGAAAACTATCTCCATCCATATAGAGAATTTAAGACTTATAAGTTCTAGCAATAGCCTGCTAAAAGCCACAGCTCTTCAGTGAATGCAATACCAAAGACACTATCCATATTTCCTTTCATCTTATTTCATTTTTTTTCTTTACCAAGGGTAGTTACAATTATCCAAATATCTATTAAATGAAGAAGTAAAGAACATTCTGAGTGTGTGACACGCAGCTTACACACTATATGAGTAGTGAAGTCCACAACATTGCAGGAGAGAACAATAGTATTTGGGACTTTAATTTAATTTAATTTTTAATTATATTACTTCTACCTGAAATGTAATAGGCTCTCAGTGAAGTAATTTACATTTTCATTCATCGTTCTTGCATGTCTTGTTTGATGCTGTTTGTTATAGTACGCCCTTAGCTTCACTGTAGTGCAAATGAACAGTAGAATCGTAGAAAGTTTTGCAAGTCAGAGGTATGCAAAGGCTTCCAGCATAATGCCCATGATTAACAAAAGCTTCCCATAAAGCGTGTTTGCCATCTTTAGATAAAGCAGGTACTTAAATAGCATAATAGAACATACTAAAAATGAATTAATTATTCTTCAATAGCCAGTTAATATCAACAACAAAGCTACCATTGATCCTGTCATAGCTAATAAACTTTTAACCACCTAGAACTGCACAGAGATCCCTTTGCTGCAGGCTAGAAACTTGTTTGAAGTTAGGGACACAGGTACACATGACGTCCTCTAGCTCCTGATGCACACACCCTCTCACACTTAAGTCAGCCACTTAAAGTTAACATCTTATGATATACAGCTGGTTGAATTCAACAACAGTGGCTTATCTACAACAGATTGTTAATTATATTTGTATGAAAAAAAAATCTGACTTGAAGATCATAATCAGACCTTAAGCTGAAATGACTGTGCTTATTTCAAATCCATGCCAATTTGAAACCATTCATCAAGTGAAGGTTGCTGGAGAAGCCTGCAGGATGGATTGGGTGCATATCCCTCACTCATTTTGAGGCAAAGGCTGTTGACTCAGTAAAATAGCCACCGTGATAAGTGGGAATTTCATTAGTGTGGGTGCCTAATTTACAGTAAACTGATGTTTAAGATGCTAGTAGATTAAACTTCCGAAACACTGTGCAGAGCATACATTTATATAATTAAAGATTACCTATTTGTGCCTGCCGAAAGGCAGGTATGCAGGCTGTATTTAAAAATGGGAGCTGGTTTGGCCTCCAGATACAATGTGATTCTCTCTAAACCAGGAAAGAGGGAGAAAAGCCATTATGATATTGTCGCATTTGTAATAATCAGACTATGAGTAACCTCTTAACACTGGTGAGCAAGAGTGAGGCAACAAACACTGGCAAGAGACTTGTATTTAAATGAGAATGACCTCTGTGTAGCAATATTGGCTGTTACCATGTCCAAAGACATTTGAAGTAGGTGAAGAAAATCCTCTGCTGCACCTCTCCTCATTCAGCCACAGTGTGTGCTCTGAGGCAAAAGAAAGAAATATTTTTGTTAAACATTTTATTTTAAGCATGTACAAGACAAAATAAAGCCTTGCCAAACAAGGGTTGTTACCATAGTTTGTAAAGAGAAGTGTGATATTAACACCATGACAAACCATCTGCTATTCTAACCGATTCCTTAAATGACGTTTCCAAGGAAAACTAATGTCAGCAGAACAGAAGATTAAAGAGGTTGCTATTTGAAAGATAAATTAACAGAATACCTGATGTCACCAGCCAAGTCTTACAAAGCAAGATTTTTCCTAGAGCCTGAAATTATCAACATTAACCTCTTCCTAATAAGATTTTTAAAGGTCCTCATGTAGCATACACAAAAATTGTTATGAAGATAGGAGGAAGTCAAACAAAAATGCTCAGTAAAAACACTCAAAACCCAAAATGTAATGGGCATGGCTTTCCACTCTTTCAGTTTAGTGCTGTAATTTAGTCTTATCCAAATGTTTATAAACCAGACAAAAGCCGAAGACTGACAGTGGTTTACTCTCATGTGCATCTCACAAGGCCATGGAGAATAGGACCCTGTGTATGTGACAAACCCTATGGAATGGCATCACTCTATAGGAATTACCCTTTTAAGCTGGTGCTTTGTAATGGGTAACAAATTAAAGTAGAATGGATCAATTTCTTGGGAAAAAAAAAAACTAACAATTTCTATGTATAGTTAATTGACTTTGGTTTTTAAGACGTTACATTAATGCTTTTCCCATAGTTGAAGCATTTTTCAGGTTCTTTCTCATTTACTGTTACAAATGTCATATTGTACGATGAAATCTACTTGAATTTAGCCAAAGAACTTTAGAAAATGGTTACGTACACATATCCAGACCTGCACATACAGATAACATGACTGAATACTTCTCATTCCCTAGGCAGAAGTACCAGAGGATTAAATTCGTAAGATATTTTAAACAATATACTGTGAAAACATTATTAGAATTTAGTCTACACTGTAGTGTAGGAAAACAATATTAAAGTTCAGAGTAAAATGCTCAAACAAAACAGCAAGAAGAAAATAGTCTTATTCTCTGAAGCTATTATAGCTTAGCTGAGAACAAGTTTATCCACTGTGAGAAAAGTTTGCATAATAAAATCTGAATTTGTTTCTGTTTCTTTATGTCTATATACAAGTTAGTTAAAATCACAGCCTGTAGAAGAAATTCCATGCTATTGCTGTTAGATTTCTTTTATTTCTTTGTTACACAGAGTATGTAGTATAGAAATATCCAGCTTACATATTTTTAAATAAACTTTCTTTATCACTAAGTATGTTAAATTTAATCCTTCAATTTGCTTGCTTACAGATTCGTTACTGGGCTGCTCATGATAAAGAAGCAGCTGCACAGCGGGTACAAGTGAGCAATCAAGAATATTCAACCAAACTGGAAAACCTGAAGCCTAATACACGCTACCATGTAGATGTTTCCGCCTTCAATAGTGCAGGCTATGGACCTCCCAGTAGAACCATTGATGTTATTACCAGGAAAGCACGTAAGTAAATGGAGCATTAGATTAAGTATAATGTCATGTACTTCATTATTATATGTTGCATCACAGAATCATAGAATGGTTTGAGTTGTAAGGGACCTTAAAGATCATCTAGTTCCAACACCTCTGCCATGGACAGGGACACCTTCCCCTAGATAGGGTTTCTCAAAGCCTCATCCAACCTGGCCTTCAACACTTCCAGGGATGAGACATCCACAACTTCTGTGCCCAACCTGTTCCAGTGCCTCACCACCCCCAGAGTGAAGAGTTTCTTCCTAATGTCTAATCTAAATCTCCCCTCTTTCAGTTTAAATGCATTGCCCCTTGGCCTATCATTATGCGCCCTTGCAAAAAGTCCCTCTCCAGCTTTCTTGTAGGCCCCCTTTAGGTACTGGAAGGCTGCTAGAAGGTCTTCCCAGAGCCTTCTCTTCTCCAGGCTGAACAGCCCCAGGTCTCCCAGCCTGTCTTCATAGGAGAGATGCTCCAGCCCTCGGATCATCTTCATGACCCTCCTCTGGACCCACTCCAACTGGTCCATCCATCACGTCCATCATGTCTTCAAACTTGGATTCTCATTCGTATACCCAATGTTCTCCCTTTGTGTGGTATTATTTCTTTGAAAATTTCTACCAAGGCTCTCCTTCTTTTTTTTTGTTGCTATGCACAATGTGGATAACTTACAAAAGGCAGTAAAGAGACTAAGATTATACGCTCATAGGAGGTTCAGCTACAAGCTTGGACCAAGTTGCTCAGGGCTTTATCCAGTTGGCTCTTGAAAACTTCCAGGAATAGAGACTGTATGACCTCTCCAGGAAACCTTTTCCACTGCTTGACTTTTTCTGAGCATCTAGTCTGAGCAAATTTGTGACTTTTGTCACTCATATTGCTGCCACACTACTTTGAAGAGCCTGGTTCCATCTTCTTGATAACCTCCCTGTAAGAACAGACAGGTGGCTCTTAGGCCCTCTCCTAATCAGTCTCTTATCCAGGGTGAACAAGCCCATCTATCTTACCCTCCCTTCACAGTGCACGTGCTCCAGCTCCCCACCAGGTCAGTGGCCCTCTACTGAACTCATTCCAGATTACCAGTGTCTTTCTAGTACTGGAGGGCCCAAGGCTGGACATGATATTCCAAATGATGAACAATTCAGACCAGCTATTACTCAAACAGCTCTACCTTTTCTTTCTGTTTAGTCAGTAGCAAAACGGATTGTATTCTGATGGTTAAATTTGACCAATTGCCATTTTCATTAGTAGTAGAGAAAGCCAGGATCAGGCAGCCTTGAAAAGTGGCTGATCTGAATCACACCCTTGAATTTACATGCCCTAATAGGTTTCTGAATATAGCTCCTGACTTAATGATGACACCTAATGCTAACACATGCTGAGCAATGCTCAAATGAGAAATATGAGCTGATGATCTCCAGAAGGCTGCTGTGATACTAAGACAATTTGCTTCACATGTCCAATACTCGCTGGCCACATTTGTTCTAGGTTATGAGACAGAATTTGTAGAGTAAAGACATGGGTCAATCCACAAAGTCAGATTTACTTTGTGAAAAAATTCACAGGAGGATAATTGCACTTTTCCTCTGCATTCTCTTCACACTTACCCTCCTGACTGCTTTAATGTTTTACAAAGAAATTGCATGAGGGTATTAACATTCTTCTATACATAACATCACACCAATTTACCCAAAAGGTATGACTTAACTGATTGTGCAGTTCTAAAACAGTTAATCAAGGGAAAGATTTGGGGGTTGTTCGTATTTCGGTTTAAACCATGCTAATATATAGTGTTACATATACCACGGTAGTTTCAACACTAAGACAGTTTTAAGGCTAATAAGGAACTCCTGTGAGTACAGAAATAAATTGAAACAACAGAAGAATATTAAAACAGAATAAGAATATTAGTGGTTTTGTCACACAATTTCATGGCCTGGCTGCTGAAGAACTGATCAGGTTAACGTTTCAAACATAACTACGCCACGTGAGTCGATGCAGTTCTTCTGTCCCATCACCTACTTCAGCGATACAAGCAGATAGGTAAATTTTAGATTTACATTTGAAATGTGTCCCATAGTATTCCAAAATTACATTCCAAGGTCAATATCAAGTAACATTATCTTCATAAAGAGTTAAATGCAGCTTAAAAATGGGAATATAGGCCAGTAGACAGTTCACGTCCTTAAAATCTAGCTGAGTCCTCTGCCACACCCACATATACCCTCAAGTATGTGCATTTACAGTGTAATTCTGTCTCCATTTTTTTGTTAAACTTTGAATATGACTTGGCCTGATCCAGTATCGCAGCATACTTGATAATACCCCTAAAAGATAATTTAGATCTAGTAAAGATTCATGATTTTGCTTTCTGTATAATCATAGTCAATAAGAGATGACCTTTCAGTCCTATATGATCTCAAGAATACAATTCGACTTATCAAGCAATCTCTAGATTGACTTGGTTAAGTACTTGGCAGGGTATTAGCAAAAGCTGGACTAATTCAAGCTTCTGTTGCTTTAACCAATACAGAGTTTGAAAGCTTTCATTCGAGGTGATAGTTAATTCAACAATTTCTGACAGTAAATAGTGTATTTGTGCAACTTGCACCTGCAGAGTTCACTTGTTTTGAATAAGATGACTCCATTTTATAAGCTTATTGTGTGAAATTTAATTAATGGTTTCTTTGTGGGATACTCCAATTTCTACTGAGTTAAATGCTGTAGAAATATCTTTAAATGGTTAATGAAATATTTAATCTTAGTGAATAAATATGACTTAAGCCACACTTCTGGGAGGTTCTGAACATAGTTGCATGCCAGCAAACACACATGGTCAACAACATAGCAAAGGGTAATTTTGACCACTTCCATTGTGGCAACATAGAAAAGTAAACCCGCAAGCCAGCTGCTGCACAAGACATCCAAAATTGCCTGGCTGGAGCTGTAGCTGTTCATTCCAGCAAGGAGACTATGCCTTAATCATGTAAAGATCAGCCTAATTTCCCTTTTTACATTTTTGCATGTCTTAATAAAAATGTCATTGAACTTTTATATAATCTCATTTATGTGCACATTATATGTATGTTGCTTTTCAGCTCCAAGCCAACGTCCAAGAATTATCAGTTCTGTAAGATACGGTTCAAGGTACATCATCACCTGGGATCATGTGAAGGCTATGTCAAATGAGTCTGCAGTTGAAGGATACAAAGTATGATCTTTGAAAATATTTTTTATCTTGATGTATGCTACATGAGGTGCATTTTATAGACAGGTTGAATTTTGGTACCCACTAACACTTAAATATAGTTGCAACCTAAAGATCTAGGTATCGTGCTCAGAGATCACAGACATCCGGTAGGCTTAGGGAAAGCCAGTGGGCTTAGTTGATATGATGAGAAAACATTGGGGCACGGAAATTCATTTGGGTGGTAAGCCATACTGTGGGAAAGTTTAGATCAGTGACTGCAGCAACCTAATTTCCCATATGATTACATTTATTGTCTATTGCCTAAAAATAATGCTTCAAAAATTGTACACTTCAGTGGTTTTTCCTTATACCAGAATGCACTGTTTCAGCTTCCTTTCCCATCTCCATGGGAGCTACAGTTCTTGGAACACAAGTTCTTTAAAATCTGTAAAGGTAGAGGAGGGGAAAGGACACTTAACCTCATTAGATGCAATTACTGTATAACTAGAGCAAGTGTATATGCTAACTATAAGCCATAATGAAAGCTTCAAAAATTAATTCCTGTTTAACTTTGCTGCTTGCTTGGCAGTAAGAAAATGAGTGTCATGTTCTACATGTACAAATTTTGCTTGAGGAGTTGAACTGCTTCCTGGGGATTGCTGAGAATGTTTCACAGAAATGATACCAGAAAGACTGGAGATCTTTTCTAAAGGTCCCACAAAACATATACCATGGAATTTACAATAGTTTAAAAGCACTGAGAGTTAATAATAAAATTTATAATTGTTTCATTTATGAAAATGGTAATAAATTTTATGTCAGAAGACCTAGCCGAGTTCTGAGATTTTTGTTTGATGCTCTTTGTCACCCTGCCTTATTATCCTCCATCGTTTAATTACTTATTTCAAATGTAAGGATTGAAATTATTTTTCAAAAGTTGGCATAATTTTATAGCAGAGAAAACGAGGAAACATCCTGTCTAGATTCACCCTATATAAAATGGAAAAAAAGTAGTATCTGCCACTAGGTTTTGAGATATATAGGCTTAATATATAAATAAAAACCTAATACTTTTTCATTGAAACAGGGTACATATGTAACTGTTTTCATGGAAATGTAACATTTCAATAACGATGTTTACTATGACTTTTCCTAGGTACTGTATAGACCAGATGGACAACATGAAGGCAAGTTGTTTTCAACTGGAAAGCACACAATAGAGGTCCCCGTCCCCAGTGATGGTGAATATGTTGTTGAGGTCCGAGCACACAGTGAAGGAGGAGATGGAGAAGTAGCTCAAATAAAAATTTCAGGTGAGCAGATAACTTCCCTTCCTCTTTCCCACACTCCTTTGAAATCTTGGATGAAATATTTTACTCTTTACGCTATCCAGAAATGGGCACGCCTTTCTCAACCAAAATTTGGGAGGTAGCTCTTCAGCAGTGACTGCACTGAGAATTAGCGTTTATCTTAAAGTATTTCTGAAGACTCATACTGCACACAGGACACTTCAGCAGCAGTCCAGCTCAATCCTGGAAGCGCTGCCAATCTTCCAACTATCAGACTGTTTCTACTAGAGCCCGCAGTTAGACTGCCACTTGTTAGTAGCGTACTACAAGCATAACTACATGGTGCAGACCTCAGGCTCAAGACATCAGCTTTCAATAATCCTATAGTTCCTATTACCTGTTGCCTCTGTATCTCATTCCTTTGTCAACTGCCACTAAGAGAAAAGTAACTGAGAAAAGTGAGTGGTCCACAGTGATCCACAGCCCAGTTGCTAGGAAGGTTCCACTTTTCAGAGAAGAGAGAAGCTGTGACACAAAGAAATAAATAAGCAATGAGAAATGCAACATGCTCAACTTTAGACTGGTCCAGATGATTGGTAAAGAGGGGAAGGGAGCATGGCTCAGGCTGTTTCAGCTTGTGCTCAGTGTTGACTGAGCTCAGACATGGTCTGCACATCTCATTCCTGTCAGTTTTGTAATTGAAGTAGTGCCTTAGCACACAGGGTATGAAGTAGAACATATAAATAAACATCAGGGACTTGAATAGTGTCTTTGCAAGGTTATAATTTAAACACTTGAGTTGTATTCTTGTCTTTTTCATTAAAAAATGAACTTGGGGAATAGTAAGGATTAAACAACAGTATTCTTGTCACACAGTCAGTGGAACCATTATTGTGTCTTTTAAAAAACGCAATGCCTATGCTATATTATCTGTGTACTGTGAGAGAAGCTACCTGTTCCTAAAGGAGCGGACCTCCGATCTGCCGGTTTTCAGTAACGTGCAGTTTATATCACCTAGTGTGAATTCACAGGTATCACTGGTTTTGTTTGTATGGAGCATCTATTCCAGTCTTGATCAGAAAATCCATCATTTGCCAGATGCGTTGTTTTCATGATTAATCACCTGCACTGTTGACCTTTTTTTTTCCTAATTTTTTGTCTATATTTATCTTGTTTCGGGATCTGGCCATTGCTTCCTTTAATAGCTTTTGCCTAGATTAAAGTCTTTTTGTGCCTGATATGTTCTCTCCATTAAGAAATGTATATATATTTGTCAAGTGACTGATCAAATGCTAAACAGACTGAGCACCTCGAATTTCTCCATGATAACATTTTCTTCAGACCTTAAATAATTTCTACATCTCTTCTCTTCACCTCTCCAGCTTCTGAGAATTCCTTTAGGAGTGTAGACAATATAACTACGTGCACTGTTCCAACTCTGCTGTCTGCGGAGACAGTCTCTCCTCCCTAAACTTACTACTCCCAGCATTATTCATGCAAGGCTTTCATTAACCATTTTTTAACTTGCACTGGGCTATAAAGTGGTGTTGTTCTTGTTCGTCCAACACCAGCTCTAAATCCTTCCTGGAATCCTTGCTTTCCAGGACACAGTGTCCCATCCTGATCAGTGTGGCATGTCTCATTTTCCCTTAGTGTATAGTTTTGCGTGTGGCTATGATGAAGCACAATTGGTTTGAATGACTTAAGTTCCCACACTGTCTGGATTTCTGTATAAATGTGTTGTCGTCATTAGTCTTTACTACTTTGCCATTTTGGTCCATATACACAGTTCCTTAGCTGTTTCATCAGCTTCTGATTTTGATGAAAATGATGGGATTGTGTTTGATCTATTACTGTTCACTGTGAAATGACACTAGAAATTCAATGACCATTCTTCAATAATTGTGTTTTGAAATCTACCAGTGACTAAATTCTTAATCCATTTAGCATACACTGTTAATTGTGTGTACCATTTTCTATGAGACTGTCTTGGAGTACTAAGCCAACCACTTGGCAAAAGCTGTCATACATTGCTTTGTATTATCATACTCTTGGGGAATCACTTTTAACATTTTATGAGTTGCAAGAAAGTTGAAGCAACTGCTGTCTTTAGAATGTCTTTAGGGTATATCTTAGGTCGTCTTTGTGTCATACATATATTATCATCCATCATCAGCATGGTGAAAGACTCTTTAGGTAGTAGCAGATGGATTACTTCCCAGACTGGAAGCAGAACCACACGTCAGCACCACGTTGAGCCCAAGCTGATCAGTCTCACCAGCGAGGCCTGCCCCAAGCGTGCCCGTACAGAGTTAATGCCTCTGGAAGAGCTAGCACTTTACAAATGCTCATTCATACAAGTTTTGTATTCTCTGTCTTCCACACTGCAGACAAGTTTTCATCCACAACTTCTACCATACTCCAGCTAGACAGAGAGGGACTGTGCCTCCGGTGACCTGGATAAAAGCAGCATTCCCTGAACTCAGTTTAGGAAAGGAGATTGAAAAAGAGACAAAAGGCAGGGTAATCTTTTTGGAATACACAGTATACAGAGAATTTGGCAAGCAAACTTTGTCCAAAGAGCAGAATGAAATGTAGTTTTAAGACCCACACATGGCCAATTATGTCTACTAATTTTTATTCTAAAGGAAATTTTCTAGTAGGTGACAGGGTTTAGAATAATTGCCCAAGAATGGTGATCGAGTGGTGAGCAGCTTTTGAGTAATGATATTTTTTCTCAGAGACTTGCAAAGAAGAGAAGATCTAGTTTGATAGGAATGTGTGTTCTGGTGGTTGACTGGCCAAAATGAAACTTACATGTTTACACAGAGATGTGAACAATAGCTAAGGCAAAACATAAAGCATCTTATCAATTCAGAGAGGACCATTGCCTTACTTGACCTTTAGGCATCTGATTTCAGAGTTTGCAAACCAAGTTAATTTCCTGCGTAAGTGAATGGGGAGAATTAAGCAGGGGGCAGGGGTTCAAAATAGCCTGGGTGCTGCCCAGAAATGATCAGATCTTAAGCAAATTGGACGGCTGCACTGAAGAGAGAGGAGTGTCTAGAAAACCTGTGTGTCTTCCAGATTGGTGTTTTCCTGCTGTTCACTGGGTATTGGATCCAAAGTAATCTACATGATTTAACTGAGTTAGGTGTCTAAACTCCCATTGTATCAGTTGTCATCTAGAGTGTAATTCAGAAGCTTAATCAAAGCCTGTAGCATTTGAAATGTCCCAGATGCCATGATGAAATGTACCAGGGCCATCCACAGAATGCTGGCAGGCAGACATGATCTACAGGGGACCTGAGGTATTCTGGATCAGCCCTGGAGGCCAGACAGGACACAAAAAGACATCTTTTGGCCTGTGTTTCAGGCATATGAGTTGCACTGTTTTGCAAACCAAAATCATTTCCTTGATTTGTGTGGCTACTGTTGCTGTGCCAGGCTACCGTGTTGTCAGCCTGTTGTGGATGTACTCTGAGCAATTCTTAGCACTTGCTGAATTAGATCTGAATTAGGTTTAAGTACAAGAACATCTAGTTCAGGAACCTTAACTGTCCCTATTAAAAATACGGCACATTTTAACTAACAAAAGTTAAGTTCGAAAGTCAAATGTGAAAGAACCGAGAAAGATATGTTATTTCTAGCTCAACTCCTTGTCTAAGGGAGAAACTGTCTTCATGTTTTCCTCATCGCAGAAAACCCAGGCACATGCTGAAGAGGGAGGAAAACATCATCCAGCAACTTTGCTCTCACATAACCAGTCAGCCACCTACGGGATACAGTGTTTTAGTGGAGAACGATAGAAAGGAAGTTTACCAAACACAGCCATCTCACCTGCATTTCTGTTTAGTGAACATGTTGAAATATAATTGCTCATCATAAAATCACTCACTGTATATATGCTGAGCTGCATTTCAGCATATTGCTATAATAACTGTAAAATATACTATTGAACTGTTGTATTTTATTGACCAGTGCCGATGTACAGTTAGGGGTTTGGGGATATTTTTCAAACCCATTATAGTAAATTAATGAGCTACACAATTTAAAATTCAATCTTGAGATACCACAACCAGCTGAAGGTCAGAACTACTTGTTTAACAAAGGGAGTCCATTTCAGTGGCTAATAGTAGGCTTATCTGTTTTCTTTGAAATATATTAAAGGCTGAGATTTTTTTTTTTTTGTCTCTTGCATGCTTTTTTGGATTGCAGTGCATTGTCATAATACTAATTAATGTAATCAAAGCAATCTTGCAATCAGTAGGAACTAAAACCATATGGTGCTTGTTTCTTTTCTCATTTCACTTGTGTAACAGCACTGGCCTCAGTGCAATTAATTTACTCCAGAGTAGGGGAAAATAGAGTCAAGCTCTCAAATTTTAAAATTTTATCTGAGATCAGGAAAAGGGGAGGGTAACTTCTGATTTTGGAAAATATGGTGAAAAAATAAAGATACCATGCACCTTCACCTTCAAATGTGAAATTAAGTGAATGTCTCAGTTTAAATAGTGACATGGACAAAGAATAGTTTATGTATTGTATATGCTTATAGCAAGAGAAAAAAGTTACAGCTTCTGTGTGTTCACTGCACACATATATATACACATATGAATTCCATTTGCCAGAGGCACGTTTTAGAATCCTGAAAAAGTATTTGCTTTGAAGCATAGCTTTTTCAAAGGAAAATGCAAAATTTTTGCCCGTACTAACTCATACAAACATTTTAATTATTTTCTATTTTAATATATTTTTATTATTATTTAAAGGGGACATTAATATTTATTGTACATATTAATACCAAGTAAATCAGGTGATCATTCACTTTTCATGTGGTAAAATAAAAATCTTTTGATCATAATTTGAAAATGTCCATCTGTTGCAAAGATGGTTGTAGTAATAAGAAAAGAGGAGATCATAGGTAAAAATCATAAGGATTGATGATTAAAGCAGTCCTCTAACTGGCATGACAGTCCTCTGTTACTGATCTTGGAACTCTACTATGCATCTGTGGTAAGAAT